CAAATAATGTTCCGCAAGTTAGGGCTGGCTAAGATGCTACTGCCAGTTGTTGAGAAGCTGTTAAATGTTCTACTCTTTACCCTCCTGTTTGCATGATAGCAGTGATGTATCTACCTGGTCTCGAAGTCCAACAGGTTAAAAAAGAGACTATCTTTCAAGAATGTAATCTAAGTCAAGGACGTTACACATGCCCTAGTCTGTTAGACATGTCCTGTTGCTCTCTAGGTAGGCCCAAATTATAGATAGGGACCATCTTTCCACAATACCGTAAGAAACTTTCCTCCCCCCACCCAGTTCCCTCTCTGGGTCCCTGTAGGATCTGGGCTTTGTGCTGGCTGTTCTTGTGAAGCCTATACAGCAGGGATGAGACTGCCTCATGTGTATGTGAAAGGATAGCTTGGGGCTGGGTGGAGGTTTTTAAGAGGAAATGCTGGAATAAATGAGAGAAATGGCTTTGAGTTGGGAGCCTGTGTGTGGAGGTAGAGAGATGAGACCAGCTGGGCCAGGAACAAGGGGGTGAATAGTCTTCTCAAGTACTGAAAAGTAGATGGAGGTTGCAGAAAAGATGGAAAGACAGGTCTGAGCTGCATGGCAATGCTGGGGTACTACAGGCAATCTTAATTCTTCTATGTTTGCAGCCTCTTGAATGATGGGGTAGAAGGAGGGCTGCACACTTCATAATGTTCCGGTGTAATATTTTATGTGAATTTTTATCTTTCATGTCAAATCACTAAATGGTTTGGGCTTTAAAGGACATGCATAGTTTCCCTCCTTGTCAGGAACAGCAGAGTTTTCTTATCATAAGGAAAGTTTGTATGTGTAGTCTGGCTCAGACAGAGCTTTCCTGTGGTCAGTCACAGACTGTGAAGCAAACTGCATGACACTGTGTCATCACAGACTGCAAGCGTAACTACAACTATATGCTCACAAACTCCATATAAAATATTACCTTCTCTTTTTTAAAATGGAAATAAAATATATTTCCTCCATGGGGAGAGAAACGACCACATACAGGAGAAGTTTGCCATGCATTACAGTGCTTTTTTGGAAAGTGATCCAGTGCTGTGGGAATGAAGGTTTTAGAATTAAATAATTTACAAGGATGCAGACACCTGATTATATGATTGATATTATTTCATGCATAAGCATCGATTAGTATGAGAGGGAAAAAAAAGAAAAGAGCATGCTATGTTGTTTGCATAGTTCATGGACAAAGTTTCAGTATTTTTCCTCAGAGTTGCGGACAGAAAAGTCTGCAGAAAGTTAAAAATCTTGCTCTGAAATTTTTAAGTTCATTATTCTTGTCTCCAAAGGTAGAACATCTTAGAGAATCTTGTAGAGGATAAGCAGTGCTCACTTCAGCATTCGACTTTATCTTTTGTGTTTGAAATATCAGTATCTGTTACTCTCATCTTTTTTTGATTTTATTGAATTGGAGTATCATGCTTACATAAAAGAATCAGAAGATGTCCTGGTCTGCATTAGCATGTAATATTTATATGTACTTTATTCATTTCCTTTCAAAAGTTTAGAGCAATGGAGCTCTCCTGTAGTCTGCATAATAGATAATATGATAACGGCTAAGGCAGAAGTTTCATTATGGGTAGAAAACTAGAATACATTTCAAGGCTTTTGGAAATATCTACAATACCTTTCACCTTCAGTTTCAGATGGCAGCAATGTGATTGGAACTGAAGAGAACAGTTTTGACCGCAGCTATGTAAAAAAGAAATTGGAACATGGGCTTTCACGAATATGGCAGGTATGTTTTTTGACTTTTTTTCATAAATATTTATCTGTTGTGTCCTGCTCCCTCCCCTCCCCCTCCTCCCCTATTAATTACAGTGATATTTATACTAATCTTCTTTTAAAGAAATCTCTCCAGGGATTTTTTTTTAAGAGATTTGTTTTGAGCTAAGTATGTCAAAACCATGGAAATAAAATTTCTGTGACTTAGTTACTGTTTGGTCACTATGCTTACAAACTTAGGCAAGATACCAAAACATAGTAACATGACTTTCAGCCTGATGCCACTTTTCCCAACCTGTGTGCTGCCCCACAATCTATTTTCTTCTCATGTGCTTTTCTGTGTTAGCTTTGTATTTCTGGTATAACCATAGCTATGGAGAACCTGAAGTCTTGTGAACTTGCCTGGTTTCACAGTACTCCTGGTCTGACTGCTGGATCAGTTTGATGTGCAATGAGACCCCAAATGTATGATGAAAAAGCTCTAAACCTTTTACACGGCTGAATTGTCTGTTTTTGCAGTGACAATAAAGCATAGGATTGACCTCGTGTTATAGAGTATTAAAGAAACTGATTATAAAATTATTTCAAAAAGTCAATGAGAAATCATTCATGTTACAGAAAATGGAGTTCTACTCTAAATCTCAAAAGAAGTTATAAGTGCAAACAAACCAAAAAGTCCTAATGAACCAGGCATCTAAGCCTTCACCTTTTTGTCTCTAATGTAGTAAGTTTTCAAAAACTTGTTTATGTTTTGTAGGATGTTCAACTGAAAGTGAAAACATATCTTCTGGGAACAGATCTGTCTAACTTCAAATATGATGACTTCATATTTGTACTTGATGTTATCAGCAGGTATACTGATGTGGGCATAAGAACAATACATGTGCACAAACTCAAACTCTGATAAGACAGCACAGTTAATTAAGGCTAATATTTACATTCTGATGCCAACTTTGCTCACATCTACTGATAGTTTGAAGAGCACTTCTTTATGTGGGAGTTTATGAGGATGTACTTGGAAGAGGTACAATAAATTGCTTTGCTGCTCAAGTAGCACTTAAGTGTGGTATGATTTCAATATTGTCCACCTTTAAGATTTCAGATGTGCAAATCTGACAATTTTGATGTTTCTAAAAGCTTTTAAAGGGGCTGTTGATTAAGAGCAGTAAAATACTGTGGTACTGCTAACCTGTACAGTATTATATCCTCCTGTTTTGGTATTAAAATGACAGATTTGGACTGAGCTGTACAGCTTGTCCTGAGTAATGGGATCTCAAAAAGACTTTTTTTTTTTTTTATGGCTCTTTGTGTATGGGATATTATGATAGGATTTGGAGGGAAATGACATACAGACTTTTGTGGAGCGAGTGAAGTGTTTGCAACTTCACATTGGTACTCTGCTTTTATGGAGATACATGTACACTCATGGTAATGATTTAGGCTTGTAATTCAGGTTGAAACAGCAGCATTAATAAATCAATAAATATTTCTAAACTTTGTTTTATTCTTATAGGTTGATGCAAGTTGGAGAAGAATTTTGTGGCAGTAAGTCTGAAGTTTTGCAAGAATCTATCAGAAAACAAAGTGTTAACTATTTCAAAACATACCACAGGTGAGACTACTATATGTGCAGTGGATGAATCTAATGCCATTTATTTTTGTTAGGTTTAACTTTAAATCTTTTTCAAAGGAATTTCACTGCATAATGTTCCTGCATTGAGATTGACAGATAGTGGAATGTGTTTCATGATGAGAACAGGGCTCTTAACCCTGGAGAGGGGGAGAGGGTGGAGAAGCCTTTGCTTCCGCTATGGTTGTGGAAAACTAGTTCTGCAGCAGGCAAGCCAGATAAAGATGAAAAACTTTTTGTGCAGAATTTCAGTAGATCTTCAGGATCTTTAGGTCTCCTGGGATCCTGAGCATGAAGGCCTCTGAGGTCTGTACTTCCCAGCAAAATTGTTACTTCTTTTGGTGTGCCATTACATGAAAAGAGCTGATGTGTGTGTCTGTGAAATGGGTTTCAATATGCAATTTTGTCTTATAACAAATGAGATGTTTAGAACTGAGTCCATTCTTCTGAGTCATGTTTTCATAGTTTTTTTCATTGGCAGTATCTAATTATGTTTCAGCCAGCTCTACAGCCAGTCATATGGGCTGTCATGTGCAGGCAGTCTCTGACCTCACATATGATGTATGGCTGTGACAGCTTCAGGACTTGTCTGTTTTAATTGTCTTGATTTCCCAAATGTTTTGGTTTGGATGATTGACAACTCTTTCATTCTAGTTACCTAACATTTATCTTCTTTCTGTGTGTGAAAAGCTAGGAAGGTATGAGAAGAAATACAGCGTTTCTTGCTCTAAGAAACTCTTACTTTACCAGTCTTGATCTGTTGTCCTCTGTTGGATGGGAGCTGTCATACAACTAATACATCCAAACCTATTTGGTCTGAGGCTTTCTGCCTAAAATCCATAAAGTATGAAAATTTATGACAGGAGAACATAAGACAGTGTCTAAATTCAGAAGCTGAGAACATGGTTTGGAATTTCTTCTAGCTTTGCTAGTTTGTAGCTAGGATTTCTTTCTGAACATTTGATGAAGACCTCAGTTCAAGTTGTCTGAAAAGCTTCAGCCTTAATCAGATGCACATTATGTCTTGTCAGGAGATGAGTTGATTAAGATGCCATGCCACCTATCTTTATTTCTTGAAAGCATTTCTGAACCCTGAACTGAATTTTGTGAACTGATTTGGAAACTGACCTTGCAGCTCTAGGATCAGAAGAGCTGTTTTGGTCTCCCTAACTGTCTTTTAGTACTTTGATTTATCACATAATACCTTAGTAGGTTAAGTAAATATCGTTTTGACCATTATGGTTTTGCTTATGTTTAAAGGACCTATTTAACAGCTTAGGGAATCAGAGACTAATTTTCTGAATTATCTTTTGAGTAAAATAAAGGTTAAAGAACATTGATGGAATATGTATAGAAATAATCACTTTTTAAAATAACTTGTGTTTTTTATTAAGGTAATGTTTCTTATAATTCTTGTGAAAGTGAAAGGAAATACTTATCGATACGACTCAAATTTTGTGAACCTTTTAATACTTTTTACATGTTTTATGCTGTGTGGGTATTGTCAAGATTATTTGGCTGATGTTTTTATCCTCGGAAGGAAAAATACAAAATACCTCTCTCCCAGCTATATCCTTTAGGTTGATTTGTATAAAAGCTTTAAGCATCTTGCCTTTTCAGATCAAGCTAATGTGGCTTTCACTCCTCTTGTGTATTTAATTGGAGGAGACAAAAAAAAAGCCAGTGCTTTTAAGGATTCATTAATATATAAAAGCTACATTGAGCTGAATTGCTCAGAGTCCAGGAGTAATCAGTTCTTGGTGTAATTTGACAAATGTGGCCTCCTGGCCAACATAGAGAAAGCATTCAAAGGAACTGGTCAAGTCATTCAGAAAGTGTAGAAGAGCAATGCAATATTAGAGCATATGTGAAGACTTTTTTTGGTAAAAGTGGATTATCTTGAAGAATTAGAATGGGCTTTTGGCAGAGCACATCAGTAAGGCGATTTTTGGAATGCAATTTACTTTTTGTTCTGATATATTTGTAAAAAGGTGTGTTTGATCACTAAAGCTTTTCAGAGAACGAATGCATCAGACCTTCCATGTGTGCCACTTTCTAGACTTCTATGCTGATGAAAATGAAGAGCATTTGTTCGAGTACTTTGTCAGCGCCTTGATTTCAGCTTTGAAATGATACAAAACTAGTGCTGTGTGGCTTTTAAATGCTTGCTTTTCTATGGCTCTTTCTCCTTAGTCTTCCTTTCAAAGAATTTTCATCTGTAACACTGATTTTCACAGCATCTTTATCTGTTGTTTCTGTTGGCTTTACTGCAAGAAGATGTGCAAGCTATGGGTACTCAGTTCCTCAAAAATAGCACTTGAAGTCTATTTGCATTTAGCTGCTGAATTTAAATAGACACAGCAAACTGTAGTCATAATTCAACACATTGCTCATTTTGCTGAGGCAAGAAAACTTTAATTGTAGTGGTGATTATAGTTTATTGAAATAGTGGTATTTCTAGAGTATTTTAATGCCTAATTAGAAGCCCAGTGCATAATTTACCAACTGCTACTTGTTAAGCATACCATATATTAAGAAGAAAAGATACAGCAATGTGACCTCAGTAAGCACTCATGGCTATCTTTTCCTGTATGAGTTCCTGCTTATGTGGCAAGAAGATTTTCTTTATTAAAGATACTTCTGCTTATGTCTGAACAGAGGCTTTTTTAATTGCTGTTTAACTTTTTCTCCTCTGAAAAGTTGAGATGTCTGTAGAACATTAGTTCTTTCACTTCCCTTTGCTACCTGTTGGCTTCAGTGTGTTTGAAAGAAGCATCTGTCTTGTGTGGGCTCACAGAAGCTGTTGTATTGCTAGTAGAGTGTTTGTATATATTATATTGCTTTCTACATTTGACATAGAGGAAAAAAGATCCAATATTGCTGCAATATCATAGATGTTCCTCTATGCTTACTAATGGTTTTGACAAAAAAAAAATTGTTTCCAAATTTTGGAGAGTGACATTCTTAGAGAATTTCTCCAGAGGTGCTGTAAAACATACCCTGTGTTAGTAGCCACAGCTTTTAGGTGTTCTGTCAGTTGAAAGAATGAGTTAAATATCTGTTTTCAAGTGTGACTATTAAGGCCTTTTAGTTAAGTAATCATAAGTAATCGTCTACTTCCTGATTTACTCTTGCTGCCAATTAACAGTATTAATTTGTTGTATTTTAGAACCCGTCTTGAAGAATTAAGAATGTTTTTGGAGAATGAGACCTGGGAACTTTGTCCTGTTAAATCAAGCTTTAGTATTCTGCAGCTTCATGTATGTTCTATGAATAACACATAGAAATGTATTAAAACTTGAATAGCTAAGAGACCAGATGTTCTGAGAATCCATGAACTACTGTGCGAATGTTTTTAATGGTTGCTAAAACCCCCTAAATTTTACTTCACGATATTGGAAACTTAAGATTCAAATACTTTTAAACAGTAGTGTTACTTTTCAGGCAGATAGAGGTTTGCAGAAGATGCTAGAGTTTAAAGCATAACGTTAGTCTTCATTTTTCATGTTTTAATGTGCTGCTAATACATCAGTTTTCCATTTCCAAATTATCTGTGTGAGAGTAAAGTTGTTAAAAGATGAGTGCCTAAAAGTAGTCACATGAGTGCTCACAAGCTTGTACCAATTTTGGTATCTGTTTCTGGAAACATAGGTAATACTGGCTCATTTGGAAAGGGAAAAAAAATAATTCTTCTGTGGTGAAGTCCAACTGAAAACAAGCAATAGGTGTGCTCACCTGCTGTCCTAAAGTGATTTTTGTGAAGTTTAGCACATGGTGGCTGAATTTCACCTGTTTTGCCAAATGAAACGTGGGTGCCTATGATTAAAGTGCAAAAATGGATATAGCTGAGCAATCTCAAGCAAAAGATGATTTTGCAGCTTCAGTAGAGTTAACAGTACAAGCAAGCAATAGGCTACTGGGGCAGTAATAGCATGGAGGGAAAAGAAAGGGAGACCCCCAGTAGCATCTGGTAGCAATAGAAATAATACATTTAATAGAGAAATGAGATTATAAATCCATACATACTGCTCCAGGGACTGGAGCAGCAGAAAATACAGAAAGTAACTGATTCATTTAAACAAACAGAAATCTAACATTGCAGTCCTTTTAGTTGCATACATTTTGATCTTTAAACCTTTAGATACATGCTAATGTACATTTTGCCATTTATGAAGATCAATAGCTAGAGTTTAATAGATAAAAATGGTATGTCAGCTAAGTCAAGGCTTTTAGAAAAAAAAGTCTAAAATCATACCTTATGTGCCCTACTCATCCATATATTTGCAAAAGTCTGTGCACTCAGTCATCAGAAACTTCATATGCAATGGGTTTGATAAGTAAAATATTTTCAAAAGAACTTTCTAGTATTTTTTAAAAAATCAGCTTTAGTAAATTACTAGGTAACTTGTGTAAAGAAAATGACATTTTTTGATAGAGTTTAGGTCTTGTTTTATCTCCTAATTTCTGTGAAATAAAAAATCCACTTAGTTTTCACCCAGTTTTAGACAGCGAATACTTTCAGAATGCAGGAGCTGTGTCGCATGTCATAAGTCTAGAACTGCTAAAATTAGAAAGACGAGCAGTATAAGATTGCCAGTTTCAGTTAGTGGGTTAACTTGAGCCAGCATGAAAAGCATAATTAAATAAGCAGCAAGCTTTGGCTAAAAGTTTTCATATCAAGTTAATTGTCCACAAATTTGTTCTTATGCTCTGTTTTTATGGAACTGAAGTCATAGTAATACTGAAATTGTCTTGTTGGTGGTTTAAATTGTACTTTATTTCTATTCATAGGAATTTAAGTTCATGGAGCAGTCACGTTCCCCATCTGTGTCGCCTAGTAAGCAGCCTTCTTCAGCAATTTCGACAACAGTGACGTTATTTGAACAGTACTGTAACGGAGGAAACCCCTTTGAAATTCAGGCCGACAGCAAAGATGATGAGACAGAAGATGTGTTAGCTTCCAATGGGGTATGGAATGTTTCAGGGGAAAAACAAACAAACAGAAAACCAAACAACAAAAACAAAACCAAAGCAAATTTTGCTCTCAGTAAATCACGATTTATTTTGTGATGGCAAAATATCTTAGTACAAGGATCAGTTAACTGCAATACTGTGTAAAATCTCAAGGCACTTTACTCCTTTAATTAGGTAGATGACTTTGCTTTTAACAGTGCCAAAAAGCCAGGCATCCCATTTAAAGTTGTTTGTTTTGCAGTGGATCAATATTTTTTTCCACTGAAGTCAAGTGTTCCTGAAAGCCAACAAGTCATGTTCCACTTAGTATTTTTCCAGGGGTTTAAGTTAGCTTTCTTTGTGGAAGTAATTTTGTCACTTTAGGATGGGATTTCTGGCTGCTTAGGAAAGAGTCATTGTGGGGTGCTCCTCCTGTTGTATTTGTTCACACCTACGTGCTTTGCCATGGATTATGTGATGCTTGTTAGGCAGTTTTTAATTGTAATTTAAATGTTCAGGACACTTGCTTTATGGTGGGATCTACTATAAAACTGAACAACTTTGTCTATTTTTTTCAGAATTCTGTCGAAATCTAGCAGTGGCCAAATATGTTTTACTTTAAAACTTTGTACCATTCTCTATAATGCTATATTAGCAAATTTTTGCTAAAACTTTTGCTCTTGTTTATCCCTTTGACGAATAATGATTTCTTGGGCTTTTTTTTTTTTTTTTCTGTACTAAGGATGGGGTTTTTTGCCTTATTACCACAGCTAGTCAATCAATTCAACCATCTAATCATCCTGGGTAAAAATGTCTTTTTATTCTAATGTTGTCTCTACCATTTTCATACTGGTTGTTCACCGCTGTCTATTTTTTGAAGGTGTGTGAGGCTCAGTCCCAGCCAGAGCTGAAGCTACTTAAGACAATAAGCTTTAGTTCCATAGTAAAGGATTGCCTTATGCTTTGCACGTAGGTGCTGCTATCGCTGCAAGCACCGTGGTGGAGATGGGGTTCTAGTAAATCACTGTCAGATGCTGTATGCCTTCTCTGATGGGGCTGAGAGCGGTT